GGGGGGAGTGAGAATGTGGCTAAAGGGAGCGACAGAATGGGGAAAAACCTGGAGTAAGGATGACTTTGTGACACTCGAAAACAGTTGCGCAAACCACCGGTAGAGCAGAAAGATATCTCGGCTCTTCCTGGATCGGAGCACTGTCCGATGTCACTAAGCATAGCAGCAGAGCAGAAGCCGACATTCAATTCTGACACATTGACAGACAAGTGCAGATGAAAACCAGTCACACTTTCGTAAAGTTAAGATATTTTTTTTTTAAAACCAGATTCAAGGCAGGGTTTCCTGTCATCTGGTGCAGTGTTCATTGCACAGGCAGAATAATGCACTGGCAAGGGTAGCATATACTTCCTTCATCTACTTCTTTAAAGTCACAGCTTGACATTTTCCTTCCAGGGCTGGATGTGGTCCTATACCCCTAAAAAATAGTTGCTTTGAGAAGCGTTTGAGCAATTCCCGAAACAGCGCGTGCGCCTGTGTACAATGGCAGCAGACAAGAGGGCATCCTGGGATTGTGCTGGCTGCGTGGGCTCGTGCTCTGATGAGATGGACCGCTTGTCATGTTCCTGCCAGATATCGAAAGATATGGCCTGCTTGGGTAATAGAGCAATTGAACAGACAAAAAGGAGGGGTGGGGAAGTGAAAATGCAAATGCCACATGGTGTCTTGCTGCCACATGGTGTCCTGCTGCCACACGCAACTCTGATCATACACCAAGTGGTGTGGATACACACATGGGCTACCCATACTACCGTTGACTCACTGGTTTTAATCTCATCTTGTTACCATTACGCATCATTAAAACAGCCTGGTGGCAGTCAAATACTGCTTCTGATTTCCAATTTATTTTTGGCTGATGAGCAAAATATACCATCCAATATAGGTGTTAATAAAACTCATCACCCTGGCAACATTTCCCAGAAGCAACTCTGACATGTGCGTGTTGTCACTCTGTACTCTGACTAACACCATGATAAAGTAATTAAAATCTGAAATGGATTTTGCTTCACTTAATATACAGTTTGAACGTGATGTTCCGGGTGATGAGCATGTGTAGACTCTAGCGGGGCTTTTTTCTTTCTTTTTAGCTCTGCATCTCCACGTGTGTATGTAACATGTAACATCTAACTAAGCTCGACTGTAGGTCACCACCTTTTCTCTTTGAGTCCATTACTAGAAACCCTCAACAGCTGCTTTAATTCCTTTTTCAGACGTGTCACATGTAAGGACTAGCTGTCTGCAGAGCGGTGAGCTCTAATGATGTATCATTCCAGATCATGTGGAAGTTTGTTATTTGTGCTTTAGTGTGTGGAACTTGATGCCGCCTTGGCCCGGACCCTCTCGTAAAAGAGATTTTAGATGCCATTGGGACAATTAAGATGTGTTGTGGTTTTATGGCCAACACCTTTACTATTTTGTCTACGCTCACCATTTCAATCGACCTCTCTTCCTAAAACGCTGTTTCAGTGACAAAGCTCAGATAAACCCATTTTACGCTGCCTGAACTACTGTGTCAAATACGAAAATTCGATTGGCTTTTTGTCGAGGGAACCAGTGCGATGCTTACTGTCTGGTTGGCCTAATAAAATACGTCAACCCTTATTAGATTAGATTAGTCTAATCTAGTGCCTTCCATTAGATTAGACATTCTGTATTAGATTAGGAGTTGTTTTAATAAAATGACGGTAACTTTAAAAGTGGAGGAGAAGCTTGTTTTGTGTTTCACTCTGGCTTGTTGAAGTGACTGTGGTATTAGTCAACGCAATAACCTCAGATTCCTGTGGGTATCAACAAAAAAGTGGCAATTGTATCAATCTAATGGGAAAAAGCAACCTTGAAAGAGATACAAATTGACGTCAAAAAATAAGTGATAAATGGAATTTAAGTTTTCTCTGTTTAGCAGAAAACATATAATGCGTCTCACCTTGGGTCATTTTTTACATTGCTGAAATGTTCTACCCACTACATTTTTCAGCTACCACTCACTGCTGTGACAGTCAAAGCAGGATGGAAAGTATTGATTAGTTCTATTATGCCATTATCGCGCTTTTTTAGTCTAAGTGCACCAGCTGTATGTCCTTGGACGGACGTTAACACCACACTTTCGTGCCGGCTCATGATGTAATTACATCGTGCACAATAACAGAAAACGTCCCCAATATTTCTTATTGTTGCCAGTGTACCCTTGAAACACAATGTTTTCCTCTTATCCTCACCAATTCAAATGTATTGTTTCGTCAAAACTAATTATTCTACATTTTACGTTGCAACATTCACAGATGATGAATGGATCAGTAATGCAATTCTTTGAATATATTCCAATTTTCTCTGCTTTTAATTGCTTCCCTAAATTGCTTTTCTCGATTCATCATTGTTCATCATGTAATGAAATGTGTCGCCTAATCAATTAATTATCCTGTGTAATTATTTATTACAGCTTGATTGCATTTCCTCTGCAACACTGAGGAAACACACTTGTGAAGATATTCTGTCACGCCGCTGAGGAGAAATGTATTAGTTTTTGGCTATTATAGGACAATATAACTGGAGATGAATTAATCGGAGGATTTATGCAAACCAAATGTTGAAATTTCACTTCACACATCAGTTTATGTATCCATCGATCTATAAAATAATATTTTTGACCACACAAATGTGAAGAATAATCACAGACAAATTGAAAAACTTTGATTTATAGATAAAAAATAAGTATTCAAAGTGTTTCTCAAATGATCATAATTGAAATTTATATCCGTTTTACTGCTGTGTTTACAGATATTACGAATGTAAACAAACATTTAATAGCATTAGAAAATGTTGGCTGCGAGTTGTAAGCCCCTGTTTGTTTGTTTGTGTGATACTGAAACCTTTTGTCCCAGCATGCACCACTTATTGCACCTTTAAGACCAACTGGCAGGTTTGCTGTATACGATCATCCCTGTCAGGCCAATCCTTCTTCATCAAACCCGTTAAACCCGTTAAACCCGACGACACACCTGCTCTGTTCATGTAAGCCGAGCCTGACACAATGACCGACACCCTTTTGTGCAGAACAGCGCGTGAGGTGTGTGTTCACTACTCTCCTCTTAAAAAAAAGGTCTACTATACAAAAAGAAAAGGTTCGAGTCGACAGAGAGGCGACTCTGAAAGCAAAAGGTAAGACCGCTACTCATTTTCTCTGCTCTTAATGGCCGTCTCTCACTTCCTTTCCGAGTTGCTTTCATGGTCGACGAGGCTGATGGAATTTCATTACTTATGATTGAAAACCAATGGAGTTTTGAAAGCAGAATGAGATGGAAAGGTGCACTCAAAATGCCAGTATACCCTCCAGATGCCAGCAATCTAATTTACTGTCAGCGGTAATAGATGGGGAGCCACCCGATGGCACAGATAAGATGTTATTTCACCATCAGGGTTATCACTTAATATCTGATAATGTCTGTGGGGAGCAATTGTATCCGACAGTTAAAACAGGGGGGCCTCAACTCCTGGCACGAGAAATGATCATCAGTGTGGAAGAATTGTTAATCTGTCAAATCAATGTGACTGCACTCAATAAAGTGTGCATAAAGGGACTTGAGTCGAGGCCGCAGTGTTAATGATTTCTCTTTAATGAAACCGAACAGTTGTGCGCATCATATGTTCTTTTCTCATTTAAAAGGTATTATAAAGATAAGACTTCTTTATCACACGGATTCAGTCGCGTACAATGGCCTGTCTAAAAGAATTGATTTCACATTTAGTCTGTGTGTTACTGTATGTTCGATTAAACAATTCCCTCTACGTAAGGAAGCGTTTGAAGCAGGAATGCTGGTGCGTAGTTGCAAACATTCCTAAAACCGAAGTAAGAGGAGGACAAAAACAAAACACACCCGAGTACGTGCAATGAAGAAATGTTGACTCATAGCATGTACTGACATAGCCGGAGCTGCCAAGTCTCAAACAAAACAAAACAAAATCAGGGCATGATGACATGTTGGATATTGTTACTGTAAGCAATGCTTCTATTGTGGAGCACGAGAGCGTGGGAGTCGACACGTAACATGGTTCATAACATAATGTGTGTTCAGCTATAGTGAAGCTGTGGCACAAATACAATAATACATTTCTGCCATCGTCTTCCCAGAACGGATACATCTATCCTCGAGCCGTTATACTCCACTTGCCTATTGTCAAAAAAAACAACAACCCATCAAGCATCATGGGAAGAGGTAAAGGCGAGGAGTGGGATGGAATGGACGAGGACACGAGGCAGACTCAGCCTCGGAAGCACGAGGAGAACGAGAGTAAAAGCTCCGGGAGCAAATGTCCCAAATGCTGCGTGAAGACAAAAAATTGTCTGATGAGCCCAGAGTGCGGCAGGGCGCTTCAGATCTCCCAGGTCGTCGCCATGTGTGGAATGTGCATCCGCTGGTTTGTGTGTAAGTATCAAACCTCAGAGGCGAGAGTGCTTATAATAACTGCTCGGACATCATCATTAGTTGCTCTGATGTCTGACAAAAGTAAGAAAATAATTTCCTGCTCTGATGAGTCTATGCAAATACAAACATAAAACCCTGACATCTGAATGAATGAGTGTTAATTTGCTTCTTTTCTGTGCATGTATACTGCAATGAAAATTCCACAATAAAAATATAACACATTTTTCATTATTTATATTAATATTTTCTTCCTCATTTTAATTGCAGAACCTAACCTTGAACTTCCTGAGCAGTTTTTCCAGGCTGCGTTGATTCTCAGCGTCCCTCAGCACCTTTCATCAGATTCATGCCATGTGTTTTTCTTTTCTGGACCGAGATGGAAATATTCACTTTCAGCCCGTTTCATCAGCTAAAACTCTCTTTTAATTTCTCTACCCACAAGTTATTTATTTAACATAAACAATTCACTGTCTGTATGTAAAACAAACTAAAGAGACAATCATTATGAATTCATGAATGGATGAATGTGACTTTGATCTGCATGTCTTTGTGAAAGGTTTATTTGTCTGATTGATTAGAAATATGTTTTTATTCATGGTGAAGTAGTTTTTAGTAATAATATGAAATAACTGTAATATTAAGATAATAATAAACATGATGTACCACCTCACGGTTGTATGTCATGGATACAGTTTGTGTCTGTCCAAAATGTCATAATTTTATCCTGTTAGACATTTGTGAGGAATTGTCATAATTAGCATATGAATTGTTGAGGCCAAATGGCCAAACTTGTGTTTTGTGAGGTCACAGTGACTTTTGACAATTTAATGTAATCAGTTCATCCTTGAGTCTGCATGGACATTTGTGCCAAATTTGAAGAAATTTGCTCGAGGTGTTGCTGAGACATCCCCTTCACAAGAATGAACCGGAAGGACGGACGGACAAACCCTAAAACACAATGCATCCGGCCGCGGCCGCTGCCGGCGCGGAGGCATGAAAACAAGGGAACTTAACAATGTGCAGAGGAATACAGTGTAACCCCAACATCTTCTCTTAAACTATGAGTAGGATGACCAGATGGTAGCGGCAAAAAACTCACACATCTGAACTAATGAAAAACTGTAAATAAAGCTTGACAACAAGGACAAAAGTGTATTCAATTCAACACCACTAATGATAGAGAACTGTAGTTAATTAAAAGCCTCAGACAAGCCTGATGCAAATATACGACATTCTGGCTGCTGTCAACACCCTCGTCTGAGGTCATTCGGAGAAAGGTGCTCAGTGCACACATAATAAGCAAGCTATAAAAGAAAACATTGTTTTTTTTTTGTGATTTCACAAGGCAATAATAACATTGCTGCCTCTTTGTGTCTCCTTTTCCATCATACAAAAATGATAAACTCGGGGACAAATGCAAGAAAAATCTGGATTCACCCAATTCTAAGGAGACAAATGTGCACCCGACAGTATGAGCGCTAGCAGTAGGTTTAAGGTGTCTGCAGAGGTTGATGCATTGTGGGGGTGGGGGGGGAATCAGTGCCGAGATCTTCCGACGCACATGCAATTCTGTGATGGCATCAGTGTTCCTGGTGAAGAATGAGCAACAGTAGGTTGTTTGTAAAGTTTTCTAATATTTCAGTTGCAGAGAAAAGACCTCTTTGTCTGACCCCAGGGGCAAAAAAAAAGAAGTAAGAACTCCCCTGGATCTGACTTCTCCTTTGGAATTTGAAAATGCATTGTTCAGAATTTCAGCTTTTCATTTTTTTGACTCTATAATGAAGGTGTCAGGTGGCAAAGTTAGCATGACCTTTTATTTAGAATGGCCACAATAATTAGGATGAGACCCAGGTTGAAAAATAATAAAAAAAATCTTCTTGTTTCGACTCAAAAAGTACGATGTTCTTTCCTACATTTTGGCTTCGTAGGACAGCTGTACATTCTCAGTCTTTTCAGATGCAAACTCCAACACTGCTCTCAACATGGATTATTACAGACCAACCAGAGTAGAGCAACAAATCCCCCGTTTCTCAAGCAGCGGTGAAGCTTCGAAAACTCCTGCAATAGATATCTTTCAACACCAGAGCCCAAAGATACAACCGAAGAGCCCAGAACGTAAACGCTTGGTAATTTTCAATTGTTGTATGGCAATGCTGAGTTTAAAACCCACATTCTGAGAACAATGAATCTGTTGTTTATCTTCCTCTTTTTCTTCTGATTTTGTGTTGTATGATTTCTTTTCTTGTTCTCTTTCACTGCATGTCTCCCTTCAGTTGCTGCCTCTTGTGTGCCACTGCTGTGTCAGTGTAGGCATCACAATACAGGGGTGACATTTCAAGGAGACAGATTAGGGCTACTCGCCAATTAATTTTGCCTCCCTTCCCCTGTTAAATACACAATCAACCAAAGGCAAAATGTCAGTGAAACAAACGAGGAGCCGCCATGTGGTTGACAATTACCGCCAAGCACCTCAGAAATGCCAATACGTTAAAGTGGGAGCAGTGTGTGAGATGAATGGGGACAAACGGCAATCTTTTTAAGGAGCCATGTTGCAGCAGTGCTGAAACGGGCATTTTTGTTCTTTCCCTGCCAAGGTTATCCGATGTAATGACAGACATGTTGCTGGAAAGGTCAAATATTAGCTAGGTTTATACAGATATCTAACATATCTGTTAATATCTTTGCCAACCGACAATATTTGTAATGACCATCAAGAAGGGAAGGGATGGATGCCATCCCTTTACTAATTACTTTACGGCAGAAATACTATGTTACATCATTCCTCATATTGCTTTCTGTTACTCACTTCGGTCAAAGGTGCCTTCCAAAAACTCCAAAGCCTCCACACACAAATCTACTTCAACAGGAGCAAATCCACACTGAGTTTGAGCAGGATTTCAAGCTGCTGTGAACACGATCAGGCCCTCGACCATGGTTGCCAAGACTCCATCTGTTGCTCCAGCTCCGAGCCATTCACTTCGCTCCACCACGCCAAACCTGCCTCCTCCCAACCCGCGACGGAGATGAGGTAAGAAAGGAGGAAACCCGGTCAGGTGTGCTTTGCTAGTGGGCTGCATCCTGTTTTTCAGGGTGGGGAAACGGAAATCATCCTTGCTCTTCCACAAGCCGTTTTAATCGCCTTCCTTTGCCAAGACGCACAGCCGGCCCCGGCCTGTGATTGGCTTGGCCCACAGCCAGCCTCAATACAATTTGTTGCATAAATGCTAAATCGATGGGTCATTACACTAATGAAATGACATGACAGAGGGACATGATCCTGCAGCAGCATCAAGGTTCTTCATAGCTTCTGGCCATGGTTGGGTGCCAAGATTCTGAAAGGTTTTAGAAATGCTAAATCAGTGAAATTCCTTGAAGTTGATGGTGAAAATGGCCTTGAATCCAGCCTGTGGCAATCTCTCTGTCTCTTAATGCGTACTCCCCCCACACAACAACTGAACCAACCATTATTGGACCGATTCCTGGTTCAGCCTCCCATGAAAACCCCCATTAACATCTGTTTCCACAGATGAGAAATACCAAATCTCTCTGCACATATTGACTAGGTCCACCTCTCAGGATAAAAATACAGATTATTTGATATAAAAGGTCTTTTTATAGTTTATCCAACTGAGGACGAGTAAAATTGAGCCTGTGGCATCTTGGAAGTACACTCTGCCCGCACATTTTATTTTGTCCAGACTCATTCATCTTTCAGAGTCACAATTCACATCTTTCCCAGGAACCTTGAAGACTTGCTCAGACTTTTTTTTTCTTTTACCTTGAACTTTATTTTTCTCTATACCTTTTACTGCCACCATGAAGATGAGAGGAGAAAAAAAAAGTGATAAAAATGTTGGGATACGCACTGTCTGTGTGTGTTGCACCTGCGCTTGCATATGTTGCAGAGAGGAAGCGAGACGGAGAAAGACTGTGACAGAGAAACAGAAAGAGACAGAAAGAGATGAGATTTGTGATCTCATCTGTTCACCCGGGGCCTCTCTCCAGAGCGGCCTTTTACTGTCGTCAATCATCTCCATGGAGACATCCTAAAACTCTGATGGATGGGGAGCTCTGTTGCATTTCAAACATGCCTGTGATACACACGACAGTAACTTTGTGTTACAGGCTTGATTACAGTTCCAAAAAACATTTGGGCCTCTGGTTTAAGCCACTGGTAGAGCTACTGGTTATCGGCAGCCAGTAGAGGAAGAAGTTATCAGATCTTATGCTATAAAAGAAGCATAGAAATACTCTGTTATGGCTATTTACAATATTACTTAAGTTAAATTAATAAAGCATTAGCAGGAGTACAGTACAAGTACTCATTATGCAGAAAGGCCCATTTCAGAATAATGTATATAACATTATAATGAGTGATGCATTTGTACATCATTGTGATGTTGCAGCTGGTAAAGTGAAGCTAATTTCAATTACTTGATATATTGCTGCTGTGTAGCCTAACATATAATAATATATCATAATTTAGTGGTTGATTTCAATTTTGTGTCAATACTCTAAATCTGCAAAGAAACTGTAAAATGTATGTATTGGAGTAAAAAGCACAATATGAAAGTAGAAAGTAGCATAAAATGGAAGTACCCAAGTAAAGTACATTAAAGTGGTATTATTACAGGTACAAGTATGAGTTGAATTGCAGGTGTTCTATTAAAAGGACAGTTTTGCTGGTTTTGATGGTATTCCCTTTAGACAGAGCTAGGCAAACTGCTCCCAGTCTTTATGCTAAGCTAAGCTAGCGTGGCTATAGCCTCATATCTAACGAAGATGATTTGAGAGTGGTACCAAGCAGGCATGGCTCTGTAAAACTGGAGTGGTGCAGAACACTTGCTGATGCTAATGTAGTAAGAGGGTTGTCCATGCACCAGCCATGAACCTGTATCGCAGCTTTATATTTTTGTATCAGCTAAGTGTAAAGCTAGAATTACTGCTTCGCAGTTGTATGCCTCCACCAACCAGTCATGTTGCAGTTTACATACACATCTGTCCAAAATGTCATCATCATTTTATCCTATTATGTTTTTGTGTCAAATTGTCATAATTAGCATATGAATTCTTGAGTTAAGGCAGGTGAGATCCCCTTGACCTTTGACCAGAGACATTTAATCAGTTCAACCTTGAAACTACACGGTAAAACAGTTATGAGGAGCCCACTGTGTTAGAGTCTCTTGAATAATGTACAAAATGTAGACCTTAGAGTATTGCGTTGCTTGAGGAGGAGGGATACATCAGCAAAGAGGACAGGTGATGAGAAATCTGTTCTATAGGGAGCGGAGAGTAGCTGCTTTTCTGTTTGGCAGACAGCTTGTCTGCTTCTCTCCAAGAACAAGGTCTCTGTGCCTTGTATTCTCGCCTTCCAGCAAACAAACAAAGCTAATGTAATCCTCAGCTTCCTTAGAGCCTGATCAGAGCGACTCAGGGTCAGCAGGACCAGACAGATGAAATGCACACGCTGTATCATTAGCGTCACAATGGCTCTCCGCAAGGATTAGCCGGGCTGCTTTCGCTGCATTTTCACAGCCAAGACCAACTTTAACACGCAGCTTTGCTCCTCGCCCCAAGGGATGTGGAAGAAGAATTCAATGTACTCTCCTGGTTTCCAGAATTCTTATGAGAACTTCAACAAGTCTTTTGGCTGGCGGCCTTTACAGCACTCACTTTGTCAGCATAATTCGCTGCCATTAGAACAGGCGATATGAAAGGGCACCCAAGGCTAATTCTAGAGGACAAGATGTGCTTTCACTCAACCT